GGCAGGTAGAGAGGGAGGCGCCCGGGAGACAGCCAGCCGGAGTGGAGCACTGGCACCGCTAGGACCTGGAGGAGCAGGGGAGAGGCGTGCTGTGCAGGGGAGGTGCTGGGCAGCAGCACCACTCAGCAGCAGCGAAGAGGCGGCTGCGAGGAGGCCAGCATCCGGTCTGTCTTCCTGGGTGGGTCCTCCCGTTCCGCTGGGCCTCCCACTGCCACACCCGGCCGGAAGCCCAGTTGCAGTAGGCGTCCACACCCACCTCTGGGGCCCAGAGTAGGGTGGAGAGTGCACATGCAGGGCCCGTGGAGGCTCCCCAGAATCCAGGGGGTGTAAAGGAGGAAGTAGAAAGGGGCCTGTGGAGAGAGGAGGTGAAAGGTCTCCGAGGTGGAGAGGCGGGCACGTGCAGAGTTTGAGTGTCACTCCTGCGCACGTGGCCATTCACACCATGGCAGTGGGTCTGTACGTGACTCTACTGTGGGAAGGACTTCAACGTTGGAGTTCAGTAAGATCAATTTTGGGGTTCTTTGTTGTTGTTGTGGCATTTATTTTCAAGTTGATCAGTCAATCAGGTGAGCGTTTATCAGAAGGCTGAGATTTGATCCTTTCCCTTGGCTCTTCCCAGGTAGGCTGGAAGCCTCATCGTTCACATACGCAAATGAGGGATGCCACCCAGTGCCACATTCATTGGCAGTGCCACTGTGGGGCAGATTCTTACTGGTCACACATTTCCCTCATTTTATAAAAGATGATGCCAGTGGCCTTTGTGTTAGAGCAATAAATGTGGTTTTGGATGCAGATTTTTGTCAGTGCAGAAAAGGAAAGCATGTTTCCATGCTCTGATTCTAACTTTGGTTTGTTTAAAAATTTTGACAGCTAATTAAAGTATTTGGTTTAGAATGGGCACTAGTGTTTCAAATACATTTAAACCTTTAACTGGGCCGGGGATTTAGCTCAATGGTTCTGGTGCCTGCCTTGAAAGCACAAGGTCCCGAGTTCAATCCCTAGTACAAAAAAAAAAAAAAAAAAAACAAAAACGAGTATTAAACCTTAAACTGAGGTATTTTTTAAAATGAATTCTGGAATATTGTAATTTTCAGTATATTTTGAAACCTGTGAAGAATGTCCCAAGGCACTCACTGGAGTTTACCAAGTGAGGAGGACTGATCACATACAAAATACTCCCATGAAAATGTAAGACAGCATTGGCACTGTTTGTGGGGACAGGATGCAGAGCCATCCTGGAGATGGGCCATGTGCTTTGGGAAACTGCCTGAGTGGGAAGGCCTCACAGCTGAAAGGGATTCACAAGTCCCACAGGAGGCAGGTGGTCCTGCAACCTGTTGAATTTCCCCCCAGAAGATATTGTCGTCTAATCCCCACTTTGGCAGAATGGGACCTTCTCAGAGGTAATGAAGTTAAAATGAGGCCATCCTGGTGGGCCTTACTCCAATACAACATAAAAGGGGAATTTGGGCCATAGATGTGTGTGAGGTCGGTGTGGCCTCGTGAAGGCATTAGGCAGAGACCAGAAAGGCACTGCCATAAATCAAGGGACACCTGGGCCTACCAGAAGGTGGAAGAGGAAAGGAAGGATCCTTTCAGATTTTGGAGGCATGTGGCCCTGCTGACCCCTTGATTTTTGGATTTGCAGCCTCCAGACCAGTGAGTTGAGACATTTTTGTTGTTCTAAGCCATCCAATCTGTGGTTGTTACCACAGCCCCAGGAAGCTAATATGCTACCCAGATCTCAGCTCGAGTGCAGAGGGAGCCTACCAGTAGCATGCTCTGAATTCTTTTTTTTTCCTGAATTCTTTTATGAACCTGTCACAGTGAGAAGAAGGTAAAAGTTAGTGGCTGTTAAAGAGCCTGTGTTTTGGTTTTGTGACTCTTAGCCATTCTGATCAAAAACACATTTTCATATTAAGACAGTGGATGATTTGTTATAAACGTGCAGGTAATAAAGGGTAGGAGAAACTGATCCCTTCTGTATAGTATGAATTTCTCTGATTAATGTTTTAGAAATCCTTCTTTTCATTTACGGCTCTCTGAGCTCCCCATGAATAAGTTGAGCATTAAAAGAGAACAGTCGTCTTCATCATATTGAAAACTCTTATCAAAAAAGAATTGTAGTTTGGAAAAGTACGTAGATCTTGAACTAACATGTGGCTTGGGTGGTTTCTGTACATCTCATCTGTCCGGGGCTCCCAGCCCTGCATTCCCTCCGCAGACTGATTCACCTTCACTTTGAGTGCTAAGCATTAGCAGTTGACGCACAGGCTAGGCCGGGTACAGTCCCTGTGGCATGATGTTCTGACCACATATGTCATTCACTGCCCTTGGGCTTTCTGCCCCTGGGCTTTAAAAAAACTGCAGAAGTAATACGTCCTCATTACAGAAGAACGAGACCTATAGAAAGCCAAGTACAGCCCTGTGTTTTTCTCTTTTCAAGAAGGAGGAGGAAATATAAAGAAGTGAAGTTCATTGCTGTGACAAATATCTAGGTAGTGCCGACTATGTTCCACGTACTTTTTGGTTTGTGGGGTTTTTCTGTTTTTTTGCAGTATGGGGGATCGAACTGAGGACCTTGCACTTGCGAGGCATGCTGCAACGCCACTGAGCTAAATCCCGGGCCCTCCACGTACTTTTTTAGCCACATGGGTTGCAGCATAAAACAAAACCAGGGAAGATCTCTGTCCTCAAGGCAGTAGGCAGCAAGCAGTGAGCCAGGGTGACATTAAGTGCAGTTGTGAGGACGCAGCAATGCTCGTTTATGGCCACAAGGTGGCAGCCTCACGCAGTGGAAAGGCAACTGTGACCTCTGAGGCGCTGTTGTGAGCGGGTGTGGCCTTCACCACTGACCTGGAGCTTTATAGGTTTGCCTGTTGATAAGTGCTTTGCGGGGACCCTATTGCTTTGCTATTTAACCCACAATAAGGTCCCGTACAACTACAAAGAGCAAGAGAGCATGGAATTACTGTAGTGCAGGGGTCTTTTGGGTGGTCAGAATTCCTACAGTACATGCTAAGGATTGTAGAGATACAATTTTCTTTCTTTACCGTGTTCAGGTAATACGTAGTTTAATAATAGAGGCAAACTTCAAGAGTTAGTTGCAAAGAAAATTTTAAACCACTGATGCCTATATCTGTGCCTGTAGCTATATCTGTCTATGTTTGTATTGGAGATTGAACCCAGGGCCTTTGAAGTGGGCTGCATTCTCAACCCTTTTTAAATGTTTTATTTTGAAAATGGGTCTCACTAAGTCACTAAGTTGCTCAGGCAGGTCTTGAATTTTCGATCCTTCTGCCTTGGCCCTCCAGTGTTGGGATTACGGACATGTGTCACCACGCTTGTGCAAACCATGGATGATTTTATCTCCCTTTTCATTTTGTTTCTTTGTGTCTGTGACTGTGTATGGCACATATTTCATATATGATTATAATATATGTGCGTATGTGTGAATTTAACACTGTTACCAGTATGCAGCTGTGTAGTTTTAAATAGTTTTTAAAGCACGATGCTCCACTGATAGTTCTTTCTTACGTCAGGATTAGTGGAACAAAATAATTCCACTAAGTCATGTTGTAGCACTGGATATCTTAAAAGAGCAGAAAAGAAATAGCTCAAAGGGACTCCACCCTGGTCCCTAAGGAACATGTCCTAAGTTTCCTAAATCCCTGGTGGTCTGGTTATTGACTTAGGATCTACTCTTCCTTTGGGGGCAGAGTCTCTAGAAAACTTCAGACTCCTTTTGTTTCTTCTGTCAGCCTTGGGCACGCAGTCCTCCAGGTTGCTTCTGTGGCCTCCTGCTGCCTTCTCAGACCCCTAGGGTGTGCAGCCCACCCCTTCTCCCTTGCACCTTGGTAGCTGTTCCTCCTGGAGGGTGGAGTAAGGTTCTGTTTTCCAGGCATCTGCTTCTGGAGCTCTTTCCCTCATCACAGGCCTCTCGCCCCCCATTGCCTCCTCAGCGCTGTGCTGAGCTCTTTCCCTGGCTAGTGCAGGTCTGGGATGGGGTGTACCTTTCATTTTGCTAGTGATGAGAGGAGGGGCCGTCCTAAGTGGTGATTCTCAGACTGGCGGCCACAGCCTCACCTGAGAATGTTTGGAATGTGGTCTGCTGAAGCCAAAATTGTGTGGATGGGGCCCACAACCTGCAGGTGACCCCTATGTATGCTACACTTAGGGAGTTGCTGTCCTGATGCATTGCTGTTCAGGGAAGAGCATCACACCATCAGCTCATAGCCCTGGGTCCCCCCAGATCTTGCTGTCTGTTGTTGTACGGCATACAATGGATGATTTCTGAGCTCTAAAGAGCAAGCACTGCATCACTGAGCTACATCCCCAGGCCTGTGTTTGATTTTTTTGAGCACTGGTATTCTACAGCATAATATTTAAAGTTGGTAATACTTTGATTTGTTGATGTGGCTGCCTCTGGGGATTTTGTTGGCTGTTTGACTCATCCAGTCCTGACTGTAGTGGGGAGGAAGTAGTACGCGCAGTTCCTCCTCCTCCCCGTGGCATCCTCTTGTGGGCTCTGTGGCTGCCTCCTTGGTGACTGCTATGCAGTTGTTCCATTGAGCCATCTGCCAGGCGGTGGGACTCGCTTTGTGAATCAGCTCCCTGGCAGCGTCTCGGCACAAGCTGCCTTCTGTTTCTCACAGAGCAGATACAAGCCTGTGCCATGAGACAGGCGGGCTCCTCAGCTCAGCCTTCAGCCTTTAAATAACATGTTCCTGAAGTCTTGAGTACACGTTTGGCAGTAAAGGGAGGCCATCAAAACACGGAGCAAGCAACGAAAGAAGTCTTTTCTCCCCTGGGCTGAAAACTGATAGGAACATAAGAAAAAGAGTTCAAGAGCATTGGTTGTTCAAGGACAGTTAGAAATCAGAAACATGAATATTCTGACCCGAGAAATTGGTCCAGGCTAAGGGAAGACAGGGTAAATGGATGCTTGGGAGAGATTTGTGGTGTATGTCTTCTTGAGTATTGTTATGTCTCTCTTGCAGACTTGGAAATGAAAGAACAAGAATTGGAGCAGCTCAGACTGGACCGCGAGCATTTCAAAGCCCGGCTGGAAACCTTACAGGCTGACAGCGGGAGGGAGAAGGAGGTAGGGCGCCCAGGACAGGCCCTTCAGTGGTATGCAGAGAGCCTTGTCAGTTTGCGGCCTCCGCCCGTCCTGAGCAGCAGGTCTTACGTTCCTTCTCATCCTCAGGAAAGGGTGATTTTAAATGTGTGTATTCTGCATGGTTTGGAAGGTGGACGAGCAGTTGGATTTTGTAATCATTGAGCATGCAGATCGTTCATTTGGTGCGTTTTAATTTTCATATTTTAAAAAGTTCACTCCGAAACATAAAGGCTCATAAGGCACATGATAAAATAAGAATCTGGGGAAAAATATTGTGCACACAATGACTTATATTGGAGCTAGAAGCTAGATACATTAAATCAGAAGTATGTATGATTAATTTGGGTTTTACTGACATTTTAGAAATAACTGATTATATTTTATTTCAATATTAGAAGAGTCTGTTTCTTTGTGTTTTTATATTTTGGGTGACAAATTATTTCCTCTCTGATTCTATAAAACTACATCTAGTATTCTGCCACTTGCAAGATTTGGGGCTCGTTCCAGGCATGGTGGCGCATACCTGTATCCCCAGCAGCTGAGGCAGCTGAGGCAGCTGAGGCAGGAGGGTTGCAAGTTTGAACCCAGCCTGGGCAACTTAGTGAGACACTGTCTCAAAATAAAAAATAAAGGAGCTGGAGATACAGCTCAGTCTATTGGCCCTGTCTTCGATCCCCTATACTAAAACAACTGAAGGACTTGTATATATTTCTGTTTTTGAATAATAAAATGGTCGTTGTAACAACAGCCGCTAGTGTGTGCTGGAGTCTTCTGTGTACCAGCAGGTGGCACAGTGCTGTCCCCGGCTGAAGGCCTGGCCCAGGGTGTGCGGCCTGGTGTTGACCTGCGTCTCACACTGCCTGTCCGTGTGAAAGCAGTCCTGAGTCTCGGTGTCTAGAGAAGGTTTCCAGGGCTGCTGTGCGTGCCGAGCCCCCTACGAAGCCCCACACGGAGGAGCCACACTGTGCACTCTTGAGTTAGGCCGAACACCACCTGCTTCCAGTTGAAACTTAGTTTTGCCATAGTCTGTCTACATCATAATAAACAAAAACGGTTATCTGGGTAGTTTCAGACTAAGCATTTCATGGTCTGAAAGAATCTGACCACCAGGCCAGATGGAATTTGAAAAATGTGACAAGTGCAACCCATTGATCCTGTCCTTCCTTAAATTGCTAAGATATTTTTAAGATTGATGCTTATATTGAGCAGAATTTTAGGTTTCCTTTTTGTAAAATAGTCGGCAAAGGGAAATAGATGTTTTACTGGCATTGTAGATGTAATGCTTAAAAATAAGCCTTGCCAGTAAGTGCCAGTGTCAAAGGATGAAATGACCATGGTAGAGTAGTTCCAACCCTCTGGGGGATTATTACTGCCCTGATACTTTGACTTCAGCTAAAATGTGGGGCTATTTTAGCCTGCACTGTCTTCTGATTGCAGTCAGGTTTCCTATAGAGTCATCCTCCAGGTGGATGCAGATGAAGCCCTACAGTTGGCTGCAGCAAGGCCATTTTTCCCAGGCGGCACTGTTTGCCGTAGCCTTGTCTGTGATCCCTGTCTGGGCCTACATGGATCCCGGGGCAGGACCCTGGAAGCTCATGTTAGACTTGAGGAACTGGGGTCCTGGATTAGAGTATTGCCAGTACATACTTCCATGGCCCACAGGAAGTCAGGAATCAGTGTGGCAGAGGCTTCGTCCCCGGCTGTGATGGAGCTGATTCTCCTTCCTCACTTGGCCCTGCAGCTGGGTCAGTCCAGGAGGCGAGTCAGGACTGGATGTCTGCTCATGCTGTGCGGAGCTGCCCAGGAAAGGCCCTGGCAGGAGCCGCCTTTGAACCCTGGAAGAAAGGACCCTCCTCCGTGGCCCAGGCGCAGCTGTCACAGCACTGGATGTTTTGGAAGGACTTGGCTGCCACTGGAGGGTTTGACGCTCATCTTCACAGAGCGTCCTCGCCAGGAGCGTGTCTGTGCTGGCCGAATCTGCTGAGAGTCAGCGAGGTCACAGATAGCGTGATACAATCAGAAGGGTTCACCTGTCTTCTCTCTGGGAGCTGCTGTCCCGGGCTCACCACTCCAGGGCTCTCTGGTTCCATGCACCTTCCACTCAGGAAACCAACTGGGATGCCAACTGCCTGGTTTCTGCTGTCTGTATTTTTATTTTCTGTATTTTGATTTATTAGGAAAGAACTGCTACTTTTATGATAATAAAAGGGAAGTTGTTGCCAACATTAGTACAATGTTTCAAGAAACTTTGTAAAAAAAAATTAACTCATAGTATAGTTCAGCTAAAATCAGAAATAAACTATAAATTTTGAAGAAATCTTGAAAGTTTTGTGCTTCATATCCTATTGTGTATGAGTGTTCACTTCAAATAGGGAAAAATCCCAGGGTTTGACTGTTACTTCTTTACAACAGCCTTATTGAGGTATATTTTGTATACTACCAAATTCTCTTGTAAAGTTTGATAATTTTTAGAAATTTCATACAGCTGTACAGTTATCCCATGCATTTTGGTGGGGTTTTTTTTGTTTGTTTGGGGTTTTTTTTTAGTGCTGGGGATTGAACTCGGGACCTTGCACTTGTGAGGCAGGCAGCAGAACCACTGAGCTAAATCCCTGGCCCCTGCTGGGGTTTTGTTGTTGTTGTTAGCATGTTTTTGAGGGAGCTGGAGATATACAGTACTTTAGTGGCAGAATGCTAGCCAGTGTATGTGAGGCCTAAGGTCAGTTGCCAACACTGCAAAGAAAAAATTAAAAAGAAAAATACTTACAGATTCACAGCAATTGCAGAATTGCAGGAACCTCAGGGAAGTTCCTGGTACCCTCCACCCAATATCCCTCAGCGAGAGCTTCCATAACTATAAAAAAGTCAAAAATTGGCACTGGTACAATCCAAAAGGCTTATTCAAGCTCACAAATGTTAGCCGGACTTCTATGTATTTTATCGCTTTGTATGCACTCATTTGTGTGTGTGTGTGTGTTTATTTGCACATGTGTTCATAGTCTGTATAGTTGTTGGTTGTTTTTTTTACCATACTGTATTACCCAGTAATTGAACTCTCAGGCATTTATCCAGAGAAATGAAAACACATATTCACACAAGCAAGTGTTCATAACAGCAGCAAAAAACTGAAAACAATTTGATTTGTATGTTCTTCAAGAGACAGTGGCTAAACAAACAGTGATACACCTACCCCACAGAACACTACACAGCAGTAAAAAAGAAAGAACAATCGATGCATGCAAAAATGTGGATGGAAAGGGTGATCTCAAAATGATAAGCAATACAAGAAATTGCAAGACTGTTCCCCAGAGTGACAATCCCCCATTCTGCATTTGTTCTAGCAATATATGAATGATCCACCTTCTCCATACCCTACCTACCATGTGGTGGTATCACTATATTTTATCTTAGAATTTGTTTCTCTACTTTAAGATGAGTCACCCTGTGTTCTCCAGGCTGATTTTTGACTCCTGCCTCAGCTTCCCAGGTGGCTGGGACTAGAGGCATGCGCCATCATTTCTGGCTTTTTATTCAGTTATTCTGATAGATGCGATGTGGTTTTAATTTGCATCTTCCTAGTAGCAAATGAACATCTTTTTGCATGCCTTTTTGCTGTGTATCTTCTTTTGTGAAATACCTGTGTCTTTTACCAGTGTTCTGATTAGATTTTTTTTGTTTGAGTTTTTGATATAAATCCTTTGTGAATATGTGGTTTTCAGATATTTTCTCTCAATCTGTAGCTGATCTTTTCATCTTCTTCACAGATTCTTTCATAGAGAAAAAGTTTTAAATGTTGATGAAGAGTCCAGTTTATTTTCCCTTTCATAAACTCTAGTTTTGATGTGATGTGTAAGAACTTTTCAGGTAGCTCCAGATCCCATAGAGATTTTTCGTGTTTCCTTTTCTTCCTAATGGTTTTATAGTTTCCCGTTTTACAGTTAAGTCTAATCCATTTGAGTTCATTTTTGTTAAGCTGTGAGGGTTAAGTCCAAGTTAATTGGAGGGGGGATGCCAGTAGTGGTTCAGCCACTCTAGCACTTTTCGCTGAAAAGAGTATCTTTCCATCCTTGAATTGCTTTTACATTTTTGTAAAGATTAGCTGAGCAGGGCCGGGGATTTAGCTCAGTGGTTTTGCCGCCTGCTGTGCAAGCACAAGGACCCGAGTTCGATCCCTGGTACCAAAAAAAAAAAAAGATTAGCTGAGCATCTTGGCCTGAGCCTTCTCTGAGCTCTCTGCTGTGGTCCATTTGCTTGCCCTTCCATCAGTTCTGCACTGTCTTGATTACTATAGGTATGAAGTACATCTTTATGGTGGGTAGCGTAATTCTTCCCATTTAATCTTTTTTGTAACATTGTCTTAGCTGTATTACAGCCTTTGTTTTTTTCCACATACATTATAGGATAAGTTTGTCAGTGCCTCAAAAGTACCTTGCTGGGAATTTGATCAGAATTGTGGTATATCTATAGATCAGTTTGTGGAGAATTGTTATCTTTTCTGTGTTGAATCTTTGATTCATGAATATAGCCTGTCTCTTCGTTTGACTTTGATGTCTTTCACCAGCAGTTTAATTATCACAATACAGATCCCATACATGTTGTGTTGTATTTTTCTCCAAGTACTTCATTTTCTTTGGAGTAATTATAAATGGTATTGTGCTTTTAATTTTGGTTTCCACTTTTTTTGTTATTAGCATACAGAAATGCAATTGCTTTTTGTGTGTTTTTCCTGTGACTTTGCTGGACTTGCCTGTGAGTTCTAGGAATTTTCTTGTAGATTCCTCATCAATAATTATGTCTCTATGGGCCGGGGATTTAGCTCAGTGGTTCTGGCGCCTGCCTCCCAAGCTGAGGACCCAAGTTCGATCCCCAGTACCCAAAAAAAAAAAAAATAATTATGCCTCTACAAATAGGAATATGTAGTTCTAATTCTTCACACTGCTCTGTATACCCGTCTTTCTCATCTATTATTGTGCTGCCTGAAA